CTGCTGTGAACACCATGCGGGCTTTCCCTGATTGGTCAGAAAAGATGTTTTATGACCCTGATCAGTGGCAATTCTAGTGGGGGGCAGAAGGGGCCAAATGCCCCCCCCTAGAATTTTGGCTGGTTACTCGGTTGTCCCCCCACTTTTCGAAGTTTTGTAGTGGAAAAATCAGAGCAAACAAATTACACTGTTCTGCTAGTATTAACGTTAGTATTAACCCTTTGATTTTGTTTTGAAGTTAACCTCTCTTGTAGTCCAACAGCTTGAGAGGGGGAAAAGGGGGCAAGAATAGATTAGATCTCCACTACTATGAATGAAAAGTTATTCCATTTAATTTAGTGATGTAACATACTTATACTAAAACTCATTCCTAAGTTGTGTATACGATAGTGGTGTAGTATCAAAATAAAGACGCTGCTTGAATTTTCCCCCCTCCTCCACAGAAAAATCTTGACCTCGAAGTGACACCCCACCTTTCAGAGTTCTAGAATTGCCACTGACCCTCATATTTATGGAGGATATTCTGGAAGTGACTTCATAGAGTCAAACAAAATTAAAAGTTTATTTTTTTTATCATATGAACTGTAGATTTCAAAGTGAGCACTTCCATTTAAGTTAAAAAAACGGAGTTCTGTCATAGTCACTGAACAAAAATGTAGTGATTACACCTTGTCTAAAAAATTTCAGATAACACCTTCAAAAAGATTTATGATTTTGTCAAAATCTTTTGGCAAGAGATGTTTCAAAGATATATGAAAATACTACCTTTGGCTGATATTTTAAATATTTTTTAAAAGTTTATCAGCACATAATAAATTTTAATAATATGACAAATCAATATTAGTTTTTATGACATACCAATAAATTTTAATAATATGATAGCTCAATAATAGATTTTATGACATACCAATAAATTTTTATAATATAGATTTTCAAAATCATTAATGATACTAGATTAAAATTAATTTTCTTCTTTTTGCAAAATAAATAGGTTATTATACTTCTTCCATTTAGGCAATATAATGAATTTTATTGTATGTGTATTCTTTTCTGAAAAGTAAAGAATATCTGGGAGTTTTTTTTTCCCAGAGAAAACTTGAAAAACTTGACTTGAAAAAAATAAAATAGAAAAAATGAAACACACCAAACTTTAACCTCAGCCATAAAAAGTAAAACAAATAAGAAATAGATTATATTTTTATTTTATTATCATGTGTGAATTAACATGCTAAACTGATTTTAATAAACAAAAAATAGAAAGAAATGTAACAGTGGAACATCGAATAACTTGTAGTGTGAAGAGCAAAATAAATTTGATTGCACAATTTTTAAATTATACTTTATCATTTTTTAATCATTTTGATACCAGACACTAAGATGCAAAGAGTTACAGGCAGTAAAAGAGAATGAGAAGACTTTAGTGAGGAGAAGTAAGGAAAGGACAATAAAGGAACAGGGTTCAATTAGACAATAAATGGTAATTGACATTGCATTTAAATTTTTGAAGATTGTAGGTGGCAAAGAAGCAAGAAACCAGAAGGGAGTTCCACAGGTGAGGAGTGCAAGAAAAGAAACTGTTAAAATAAAATTGGTAGTTGCATCTAGTTAGTTCAACAGTAAAATGGTGAGACATAGTTGCCAACCTGGTAGCACACTTAAATTCATGTAGTCAAGGCACTAAGGAAAAGAACTTATCAGAACAGTTGCCATGAAAATATTTGTAGAAAAGATAGAGAGAGGCCACATCACTATGGTGACAAAGTGACTGAAGTCAAGATGCCAAGTCAGGATCAACCACATTACAGACCCTTCTTTGGATTTTGTCAAGAATATTGAGATATACACTAGGAGTACCAGACCAGATATGGCAGCAATATTCAATGCACAGATGAATGATAGATTTATAAATATGCAAGATGGATTCTGATGAGAAACATTTTCTGGCATGATTCAGCAAGCAAATTTTTCTAACAGCAGATGTAGCAACTAATTCAATATAGTCACTCCACTTCATGTCAGTGGAAAATGTGAGCCCAAGAAGGGCTAGAGCATATACAAATAATACCAATTTATTAAGCTTACAATGAATGTTCTTAATCTAAAACATTCCAAATTCTACATTATCAACAGCATATCTATTTACTTGGTGATCTAATAATCACCAACCTCATGAATATTTTTACCTTGTTTATTTGCAACTTGAGTCTCTCTTGTAAATATACATAAAATATAATTTGATTTTATATATTTATCAGTCATGCTGACTGTTTTCACTGTTAAGTATTGATATATTCTGTTGTTATGGTAACACAAGTATTACCCAATGCCATACAAAACAAACATACATTAATGAGTTATTGCATTGTTATGGTAACATGATGTGGGTTTGCTTTGAGTAATGTTTTGTGTTACCATAACAATAGAATATCATTGTTAATCAGGGCAAATGCAAGAGTCTCATACCCACCCACAAATCTATGATATAGTGACCCCCATTTTATTACAATTTTCATAAAGTAGTATTCATATTAAAATACAAATTTTATTCTAACCTAATTATATACAATAATGGATCAGATGAAATATAAGTGGACAATTCAACTAGAAAAATTAAAAATAAATGCAAAGTATCTAATTATAATTAGAAACATGTCATAATAGATCATTCCATCTTAAATAAATCAACAATGTTTTGCAGCAACTTTTAACATCAACTTTAGATTTTTTTTTGTTAAAATGTTGAATAATTTAACACATTCAACATTATGGATAAAAAGTAATGAATTTTATATAGTATTTTTCAAACCTTAGCATGAGCAATCAGGCTTGCCCCCCACCTCAATCAGTTGGGTTGTCTTGAGGGCAGTATGCACTATCCCTGCTGTTAGTACATCACTTTATCTCTTTTGTTTCATGTTAGCTTTCTTCAAATGTTTTTACTTTAAATGATTTGAAAAGCAGAATTCTTTCTTTATAGTTGCCACTTCTTAACAGGAAACTATTATCAAGGCAAATAAATATAAATTGCATGATATAAAATGGAGTATTTTAGATTATAAAATCACATATATTGTGCATATATATATATATATATATATATATATATATATATATATATATATATATACTTTTGCATGATTGTAACATCAACATCACATTTTATCATTATTCTTCTGGTGACTTCAAAATCATAATTATTCAACAGTAAATAGAATCTTATTTGCCAACCTTAATATTTAGAACTAGCTTAAAAGCCACCGTATCAGGTGACATTTAAACTAGCTCCTGTGGAGTGCTCTTGATTGGGCCTTCATCACAATAGATAAGGAGTGGATGTGATAGGCAACAATAAACTACAGAAGAACTCAAAATTGATTGCTGCATTTAAATATATCATTAATATTTAATCTTACCTTTTAAAAGTTCAATGATGATTCTTCTGCCGCCACTTAATTTAAAGACGATTTGGTCCTTACTTTCTGTACAAACAATTATTTTTATTTCATGGCTGACTTTCAGTGGATTTCATAATTAATTTTGATTATTCCCAAATTTATTTCCAAGTTATAAAAATTGTTATCATACAAAAAAATTTATCGCAAAAAATCATGTAAAATAATCACCAAAAACAATTGCAGTAATGAAAATTTGCGAATCCAAAATTTCAGGATTGTGGGTCCAGATATGGCCTAGAATGTTTTTAATTTGCTCCCAAAGTCAGCCTTATTTCAAAATGGTATGATATAAATAATAGGAATAAAGTTGAAAACATGGACAATTTTATATTGAAAGACTGTAATTTGAGAACAGTAATTTTTTCATTTGAACATGAGTTACTGAGAGTTAGAGAGTTGTGTCCCATTTAATTGTTTTTATTGCTAGAAGCCAAGATGGTGGAATCCAAACACAATTGCAGTAATGAAAACTTGCGAATCCAGAATTTTAGGATTCCAGGTCCGGATCTGGCCCGCAATGTTTTTAATTTGCTCATGGAGTCGGCCTGATTCCAAAATGGTATATATGTTGGGCTATGGCCTCTAGGAGTAAAGTTGGAAAGGGTGACACACTGCTACACTAACATTCGCATATAGGGTAACCTGGGGCAATTCCATACCATACTTTTTGCTTTGTTGAATTCTGATTCTTGGGTAAGGCATATCAACACTTGATATAGATAAAAAAAGATTACAGCCAGTTCAGTTATCATACAACAGACCAAGAACAAATAGAATCAAACAGAAAAGTAGAAAAGTTGACTTAAGAAAATCATTGAGTACATATGAAAATGGGGTAATTCCATACGTTCCATTTGACAATTACATAATATGGGAAACATCCACAAATTAAGATAGAAATAAAGCCAACCGGTATAGATAAATTGAGCATTTATTTCACAGCATAGAATAGGCATAGGCATGACTGGAAAAGAGAAAGAAAGGCGCAGAGAGACTGCTCAACTGTCAATTATCTCTGACAAAAGACGAACTGCACAAGCCTTAGTTCATAGCAGAAGAGAAACTTTCAAAAATGTTTCTTCTGGCTTTGGAAGGAACCCATTCAGGGTCGCCATCACTGTCTGAGTAATCGCTGTTTCTTTGTAGCTCTGTGATGTCAGCGTCTGGCTCTGAGGTGTCAGCATCTGACTCTGTGGTGTCAGTATGTGGCTGTGCGGTGTCAGCATCTGGCTCTGGGGTGTCAGCATCTGGCTGTCCAGCATGTACTTTTTGCCTCCTGGTACCGGTATTCTGAGTCTTTCTTCCTCTCCCTCGACCTCGCCCTCAAGACTCTGTCCTCCTTTTTTTTGCTGCTTTCTCTTCTTCATCTTTTTGAAGTCACTGCAAACATTCAGCTGAGGTGAGGCTCTCTCCATACTGCCTTTTGATGGCCCTTTGTCTCTTGGCATCATTTTTTCTTTCAGGCCTAGCCAGCATGGGTGTCAACTTTCTCATGAAGAAATCCTTTATAGTCTTCTTCATTGGACTTGGAGTCATTGTAGACATTTAAAGAAGCGAGGGTGGGTCATCTGTTGATGAGGAAGGCACATCTGCACTTGATGTTGAAGGCACAGACAGCACATCTGCGTTTGATGTTGAAGAACCAGACAGCTCATAAACAGAGGGTGGTATCTGTGTGGGATCCCATGGCATTACCCCACACCTTTTGAACCCTGCCTTGATGTTGCCTGCTGAGAAGCAGTTTGACTGCCATAAGGACTTGAGGAGACTTGGAAAAAGTTCTTTATTGAGAGGCATGCCCAGATTCTGCTGGGCAAACCAAACAAGAATGTTCTCCCACGCTGTCTTCACTGGCCCATACACTCCTACATCAAGCGGCTGAAGAACATGCATGCTGTTGGATGGCAGTTTGAGGATGATCACATCATGTTTGATGGCTTCCTTTACTGTGGCAAAGTTCAGGTGAGAGGCATGTCCATCAAAGATGAGAATCACAGGTCTTTCAGGGGGAAGGAATGGGATGAACATTTTGGAAAACCAATCATGGAAGCAATCAGTGTCCATCCAACCTTTGTCAGATACATTGTATCGAGCTCCTTCTAGACCGTTTTCTGTCCATTTGACATGCAGATTTTTTGCACCATACATATGGTGGAAGCATCATTCCATCAGGTTGTAGAGCTTGGCAGCCTTCTTGTAACCCATTGTTCCATCATGAACAAGACTGACAGCTTTTTCCATGTCTTTGGCACTGTACTTGGCAGTCTTCCTTGTGTAGTTCCTCACCATTTTGTTGCTGTAACATAAAAGGACAAAGCATAAGTTATTTAAGTACGAAAGGGTCATACAATTTTAGCTTTCTGCAATATGGCATGGAGCAGTTCCCTACCCTTTGGTTATGGAATTGCCCCAATGACAAAATATAGAATAATGACAAATTCACTAGTAGGAAATGGCAGAAGAGTCTAAAATATGTAGAAGGAAAGCCTGTTTCATGTTAAACACCTATTAGTTTGTGTGCTGGAATCCTTTGGGAAATTCCATACCCCAGGGGTATGGAATTTCCCCAAGCACATGTTCATCTGACAAAGTATAAATTCAACATCAGGGCACTCCTAGACTCTTTTTAGCTTTCTTTCATGGTTTTTATACATAACTCACAGTAAATAACCAACTTAGAACAGTAGAGAGGACATTAATATAAGTATAAGGATGACTGAAAAGTGAAATTGTTGTACTTACCTTAGGATGGCTCTGGATTGTGTTGCTGGATCAATTGATGTTCACTGTAGACACCAGAGGCAGCTCCAGTACTTGGAGGGGAAGTCACCAAAAAACCCATCTCCTTCTTGAGAAGAGTTCTCTAAAGTACTGAATTACTTCGCTTGAACTGAACAGCTTTTCAGCTGACAGGGTATGGAATTGCCCCAGGCTACCCTATTATATAGACTGTAGCAGCAGTATAATTTTTACTTTTTATTAGATTGTCAACCTTTATTATTAATTTGTGACTAGTCATTTACTTTCAGCTTAATTTTGTTTTTAGTTTCTTTTTATCACAACTTTACTCAGGCCATCAATTCTAAGACAGTGGCAGATGATGCAGATTTGGAATTAAGTTTTTCATAAGAACCAAATTCATGTTTCTTTTGCTTCAAGGAAATCTGGTAAATGCCTAGCCGTTTTTAATGTGATGAGATTGTCCAGCATTCATTGGCATATCACAGAGGATGGATATCACATAGCAGTTCATCACTCGTTTCTTTGTTTTGAACAAAATTTTTCTGTTTCTTAGAACTTTGTTTAGCTTTCGAAAAGTATCTTTCATTAATCCAACATGTGTTCAAATTTTGGTGTTGCACTTTCCATCTTCTGTTAAAACATTTCCCAGATATTTAAACTTGTTTGATGTTGATATCTCCATTTCATAGTTCACATCTTGTTCTTTTTCTCTCATTACTGACCAAACTTTTTGTCTTCTTGCAGTTAATGATTAGTCTCTTTTTCTCACTTTACTTTAGGAACTCTTGTAGTTTTCTTTTTGCGTCAACCATCAGCACAGTGTTATCTATGTATTGTTAAGATTATGCATACTGATAATAAATCCTGGTAGAGTCTCCAGCTTCCTTAAGATAGCCTCACTATAGAGATTGAATAAATCTGGAAGATACATCCTCATTTTATGCCCTTTTCTATTTTTGTGTAGCTACTCCATTTTTTTATTCGAATGCAGACATTCTACTTCCAATATATGTTCCAGATTATTCAAATATCCTTTCCAAATAGATCTAGCTTTTCTAACAGTTCAAATAGATATCCTGTGCCATACCTTGTCAAAAGCTTTTGTATAATCTATAAAAAGAAAGTTGTATCAAGGTCAGAAACATCTCATTTACAACAGGTGATAAAATATAGAGGCAACAGGAGTAGAAGTTTATCCCTTGTTTCTTGTGTAGGATTGGTTTACCAGTTCTTTCTCAAGTCTGCTTCAACTCTATACTTCTGACATCTCTGCCTAAACTCTGAAATTTTGTTTTTTCCTCAATAGGAGTAGATAGGTTTGCCTATTGTCTGATTCACACTCCATACCAATCTTTTGAACAGTAGAGGTTTATCCTTTGTTTCTTGTTTAGGATTGGGTTTCCGGCTCCTTCTAAAGTCTACTTCAATTCTATACTGCTAATGTCTCCACCTAAACTCTGAAATTTTATTTACTGTTTATTTTTTTCTCCTTCAATAGGCATAGATAGGTTTGCCTATCATTCAGTTCACACTCCTCCCTGTTTTTTGAACTGGAGTAGAAGTTTATCTTTTGTTTCCTGTTAAGAATTTGGTTTTGCATTCCTTCTAAAGACTTATTCTCTTTCATACCCAATAATCCCTTGTGTTTTAGTGATATTATTGCCTTGTTTAGGATTAATTGATGAAAGAAAACAACACATTTGTATTGCTCTCTGTGATATTCTAATCATAAATATTGCATTTCTTGAGCCTGCCGTAGTTACTGGTTGACATGTTTTGTTAAGCATTAACAATCTTTGTTATTATTACTAATATAATATTCTAACATTCAGCAACATTGATTTTTAAAGATTAGATACAGAATACTTGTGATAGTACAGGGGTTAGCTTTCTGATTTCAGAGAGAGTGAGTTCAGGCTTTACAGTTTCATTTTGTAATGTTGTGTCAAAGTTTGGACATTCCAGCAAAGAAATGTTTTAAATAAGTGTAATTAAAAATGATTTTAGATTTTAATATTTTCAATAATTAAATATTCTTCTCATTCAACTAGCTTATGTTATATTATAAAAATAGTTTGACAGTTTGCTGATAAAAAAAAGAGTTATTCATTTCAAAAGAGTGTAGGTAGTTCTTGAAAATATTTTTCAGCTTACTCTTAATAGTTTCCTAGTCTGTTGATTTTGTTTTTAGAATCTTGAAAATATTCTTACTGCTGTTAGAAATTACAAGAACTGGCCTACTTAAAAATATGACGTCAAAAGAAAAAAAATGTGCCACAACTTTTGCAAATCCTCCTAACCCCATTTATTTAGGAGGTTGACATACATGCCAAGAAAACAATTCCCAGGAAAACAAGTCAGACATTGCTTTTTTTTCCCACAAGTAACATATGTTGCTTTTTTCCCACCTCCACATTTCTTGAAGAATCTATTATTATTTGTATTACAAACTTTATAAAAAAATTGTTTTTGGTAACAAATTGTGTAACATGATTATAAGTCAACATTGTAAAGGAAACTATAAAAAAAAAAGCGAGTTAACTTAAGCAAATACCTTTGATTACATTCTAGTTTCTCAACCATTTTTTAAAAATTTGTTCTCTTTTTCATGTTCTAAAAAATTGTTATGTCCTTTCAAGATGTTGGCAATCATATCTCAGATTCCTTTTCTTTATCATCTGTGAATTGCCATCCATTCTTGGGAAAAATAGTGGAGTGGTTTCCCATTGCCTTTGCCATTGTTTAGAATTCAGTGTTAGACTGGTGGTGACCCAAACAAACAGCACAGTCTATTTAATTCACAACTAGTAGGAGTAGAGGCAGATTCAAGTCTTTCCCAAGGACATTTGTGCGAAAGTGCTACCTACAAAAATTCCAAAAGAAAGAAAGAAATTCATGAATAATAATAGTTTTCTCACTAGTAGTAACTGATTTCTTCAATAGAATCTAAGTGACAATAAATATCTTCAATACTCTAGGACACTCCTCAGTATTCTAGCTGATTTTAGCAGTGCTCTGGATTGTCACAATCTTCCTGCTAGTTTCTATTCCTCTAACCTTTTTTTGCATGGTCTTTTTTTGGAAATGTTTCTAGTGCTCTGATAATAATTGGTATTAATGTCACTTTCATATTCCACAATTTCCTAAACTCTCTAGTAAAGTCAAGAGATTTATCCAATTTCTCACTCTACATTTGATTTATTTGGTGGTCTTTCAGAACAAACCCTACTGACATATTACTTCATTCTTTTTACAGCTATTATATCCAGTGTTCTGGTCCAGATTAGATGATTCTTTTGAATCTCATTGTCTCAGAGGATCATATATATTTCATTATCTAGGATACATTCTGGTTTGTGCATATACCATTGTCATCTATAGTCAAAATGTAGCCACTTGCACAGTTTCTAATAGATTACCTTCAATATACAATAATGCCTATTCATTTTTAGCAAATTTGCTACATTTGCTTATGTGATTGATTGATTGTCTCATCCTGGTTTCCACATTTGTTATTCTCTATCCTATTCTTTATGTAAATTTAAATTAAGGAACTAGGACAAATGATGGAGAAAGAATGATTTATTTGAACTGCTTTGTTCACAACATAGGTTGCCAGTGAATGATGGCTTCTTGGCACTTCTGGGTAAGATTGTCCCTTTCTAGATAGGAGAGTGTCCAATGGAGAGCAACTCATGAAGATTAAAATTTTATATAATTAGTTTTTATTGCACTGTTTCATTAAATGTTACTCAGTTTATCTCTTCAAGCTTCCCCTATGTAGCCATGTCCATGTTGATTTATCTGCCATTCTCTTGATTTGTCTTTTAAAATATCCATTCAGCTGTTTTGCTTCCCTTTTTGAATTCTCATTTTTGTGGTTCCTGTGTTTCATTTCACTGATTTAGTACATCTTTTAGCTGCTGTCTTTAACCCTTCCTTATTCTTACTTGTGTATTCCTCAAGTTTCTTGATTGTAGGGTTTATATAATACTTGATTCTTACAAACATCCTTCAACCCACTTTTCTTTTAATATACAGTCTATCAGCATCATTACTAAAGTTTAAAACTGTATGCATTGTCATCAGTTTTCTTGTTTTACAGTTCAATTTTCTAAATCACACTCTTGTCCAGTTTAAGTAGGATCCTCAGTACTTCACAATGGGAACTGTCCAAGAATTTAATTTTTTAACTTTCTTCCTCATACTTTAATTATTATCTTTATAATCATTCCATTATACTTCAAAGTGCCATAAATTTGTATTTTGTATATACAAAGCAAAGT